GCACTGAGCTAGCTGCTAACAACATTAGCGCTCAGAGGACAACCATGCTAGGGCATAAAAATAATATATCTTTCCTTACATATGAATGCTTGTCTTTCAAATAACTGTCCAATAAAACATCTGAAAATACAATTTAAACAATGGGATCGTTTCCTGTTAGAAAGTGGCTGCAAACTCTGGCGTTAGTTTCTGCACCTCCTGCTCTTGGCTGTAGATTGTTGATCCATTTTCTCCCCTTTTTTCACTAAGTTTTTTAAAATCAACTCCCTTGTGACCAACTACCTTTGAAACACGAAAATAACGTTTATCTTTCTCTCTATTAGAACAGTTGGAGCAACTGTACAGGACTCAGACTTTAGACATTTTGATGCTGGATCAACAGAAATAAATGGGCTGAATTTACTTCCTGCCCTCCATGTGCATTGGGTGACATCGGTGCTGCGTCATCTGAAACCCAGCAATTGTGAAAGCAGGGTACCGTAACGTCTTGAGCTGTCGCGCATGTGAATATTGTGGGCGGCTGGCTTTTTGAAGAGGCGACTGGCTTTACCGCAGTACCTGACTTGTGTGTGTTGATAACTACAGGGGAAAAAATATCCTTTATAACAGCCTCAGTAAAATGCTTAGCCACCTCTTAGCATCTGCAGAAAAACATTTCTGGAGCACAGCTCCAGATACCGATGGAAAGAAAAACTCCAGGGATATTTTATGACCAGAGGAAGCTGGAGCTGCTGTCATTCACTAGCGACTGGATTCTTTTGAACGGCGTTAGGAATCGACTCTGTTAGCCAGAACTGTTCTTTTTTTATGACTTTGCTTGGTAATGAATGATGCTCTGCTTTCAGGTCAACAGCTAATGTTATCTTTAATTAATTAAAAATATTTAATTAAAAATACAATAAATTAATACAATGGATATAAATGGGTTAATTGTTTTTGTATCTAATGGAGCAGAAAATTATTTTTTGTTTCTGTTAAAGCAACTCAAGTCTGTTTTTCTTTAATTGTGCTTCTAAATCACAGAGCCCTAAATGTTATTAATGCGCATAACAGTAAAGAACAACTTGTTTTTTATTTCCATGTCATCATTAGAAAGTTTAGAAACTGTCAGAATCTGTAAATAGCTCAAGATGCCCAAACAGACGTTCACAGACTCATATTTTCATCATATGCTGAGGTGTTTTATCACGGGCGACTTCAGGTCAGTTGGTCCTCAGCCTGACAGAATTTGAGAAATTGATCTATGGAGGAGCAGTGGCGCATACTTGTGACATCACTAGCGATACCAGAGTATCTTAAAGAGACACTACACAATTATGACTGTTACAAGACCACTGACCTTCCTTGACATGGGCCGGGTTGAAGCCGTGGACCAGAGCTTTGGGCGCCCCCCACTCAGTGCTGATCATCACATTATGGCGGGGCTGGTACCAGAAGTCATAGCCAAACGGCGCCGCCTCACCTGGATGCTCCCAGTTACCGACCACCTCGAACGTCTCACCATCCAGCAGAACAAAGCCCCCTGCAACAGCGGCAGTTACCACCAACGTCCAGGAGAGGGCGCTAGCTTGTGTTCCTCTCTGTGGGTTCGGGCCTCACCTTTACCGCCACCTGCTGGCTCTCCCATGCAGCTGATCATGATCTGTCCACTGGCCAGGCAGTGACTGGTGTGAGGGTTGGCCAGGCCACACTTCCAATACAGATCGATGGGCTCCACCGTCTGAACACCCACAAAGCAGCAAATACTTAGTTAGCGAGCTAAATATTTAGCTTACAAAATAAATCTTAATTACCAATTTCAATATTTTATTAGGAAGATAGCTAAATAACTAGTTACAAACTACATAAGCTTACTAGCTAAATATTATGCTTATAAACTAAACATTTAACTTGCTAACCTAAGTCTTAGATGCTAACTAACACTAAAGTAAAGGTGTTAAATATTTAGTTTAAAGTGAAATACTTAGGTAACGTAAGGTAATTTTATTTATATAGCACATTTTTAGCAACCAGGCAATTCAAAGTGCTTCACATGAATTAAAAAGAAATACAAACAAAAATAACAAACCAAAGGGAAAAGAGGAAAGGACATTAGGGCAAATGGCAACATTCAGACAAAACAAAGGGCAAAACAAAGACATGAGTGAAGGCGGTTGACGTCAAAGGGCCATGAAACCACGTTGCTTAGCCTCCCAGCAAAGTCCGATAAGGTGTTGTTATCTAGGAATGTCCTTGGGAGCGCTCAGCTCCACAGCTGCATGGATACAGGAGGGGGTGAGGAGGAAAGGAGCGTGATTTTTACATATCTTCAAGGAGATTGGATATGCAGCCCTTCCAAGGCCACACGGGGAAAGTTAATTCAGATACAGAATGTCTTAGTTAGATTATAAATTTCAATCTTCCCTAAAGTCTCTCCAATACATCTCAGTTCCCAGTTATCCAAATTAGTTTGGTTGTTCCACTGAACCGAAACTAGCAGCTTCTCTAAGACCGCTTCCATCCCTTTAGTGAGATTTAGAGTCCTCAGCTGGGCTGCGAGTCTCAGCAAGACTCACATCCAACTTGCGTCTCTGTCCACACCAACAGTCTGAGTGTTCGCTAGTTCGGCCAAGTCCGTCACAAATTTGTTGATAATCCAGGAATCCACAAGCTCCAAACAGCAGAAATCCTGTTATCATAAATAAATCCAGGGTGAATCCCACTGGGTGTGTCCCCGCAGGACAAGAGGGCTCTCCTGTGCCCAGACTTCTCGTCGAAAATTTGATCAATTGCATTGAGAGACCAGTTGACCAGATCAATAATTTGTAGATTTGGAGGATGTGCAAAGAAAGGCTCCAAAAATATAGAAAAAGAGAAAAACAGAGCAAGTAGGGCAGGCAAGGGCAGGGAGGGAGCAGAAGGAAAAGTGTCTGCCTTCACCGAGAGCAAGACAGAAAACTTATCTTGCTAATTAGTTGAAACTGATATTTATAAATGGATGAATAATATGATGAAAAAATATGAATTTAAACACCATCTTTTTCTCTTATACCAGGCTAATTAACCCAAATTATTACTGTTCATCTTTGTCTGTAACTTCAGAAAAAGCACAAATAACCATGTGATCATCTGGGGCCAGGAAGGATTCGTGTCTTTGGACCTGATCCCAAACAGAACCGCTTTGCTGTTTTCACTGTCTGCCACTTAGAGCCACTGTAATACCATGGCGGCACCAACAGGGGGCACTAGAGTCAACTCTACGTCCATGAAACCCCAGCAGAAGATCGGTTTGGGTTCAGGGTTCAGGACCGTTTGGGTTCAGGAGTTTTCAGCAACAGATTCTTCTTTTCTCTCTCCAACATCAACAAGTTAAACTGGAATATTTTCTGTTTTTACTACTAGAGTTAATGAACTCGGCATGAACCTGGGCCTCCTCTTCCTCCTCTTCCTCCTCTTCCTCCTCTTCCTGTTATGTAATCATTTTATGATCAAGCTGAACTCTGAATGTTTTCATTTCTGTTCGTCTATTTTCTACACGATTTCACTTTTATACACATTTTCTATGTTCATTTTTTTAGTATCCTCTGCATGTTTCCTGACCCCTACATGACCTCCAGCAGGTCATGTAGGGGTCAGCAGCGTGTCCGGCTGCTGACCTTGTGGATCCGTGGCGATCTGGGCTCGGTTCCGACATCGATCACGTAGATCCGGGAGGAGATGAGCGACGGCAGGATGAGCCGGTTCCGGGTTCGGGTCGGGTCGCCGAAGCAGCTGCTGCAGGCGTTCCAACCGGAGTGATGGAGCTCATCGTTCAGGTTCGGCATCGGCAGCCGGTGGATCACCTGCAGACGGGTCGGGTTAGATACTCTGGACCCAACAGAACCATCAGAACCCATCAGAACCATC